AGCGCCGTGTCCCGCTGCTGTCCCTCATTGATGATGTCCCTTAAATTTCCCGGGTTTCATGCTCGCCCGGCTCGGGAGGGAAGCAGCGGCTCAGGGTCCCGCCGCGCGAGAGAGCGTGCACTGGCACCGTCGTCCTGGCACGAGGAGTTCCATCGACCCTTCCCTGCCCGAGAGGGGGGGAGGGAGAGAGAGAGACTCTCGCCCACGCCGCCCGTGAGCCCAGAGGCGGCAGCGGTGGTGGCAGCTGAGGAGGCGGCCTGAGGGAGAAGGAAGAGGAGGGGATGGGGAGGGACGCAGAAGGGCGGCGCTTCAGCGGCTGTGGCGCCGCCGCAACCGCCTCATGCCGGATTGACAGCATCTGTCAATCCTACCAATGTATGTACAATAGCAAAATCCTTATTTGGGCTGCTGGTCCCTTATTTTCGAGGCTGCTGGTCCCTTATTTTCAAATCTGTAAGTTGACAACTATGCCCAGGTCAATAACCAGCCGGGCCACAGTCTCTCAAAGGCCCCAACCACCCACATTGTGCACCAGGCTCTGTTCAGCAGACTTCAGGGTTCTTGGTTGTTGTTTTTAACATACTCCTGCAAGCTTTAAATCTCCATCGTCCAGATGTTGACAACCTAATTGGTCAGCTGGCAGCGAAGACTGCAGTGGGGAGAGAGTGTCACCTTGTGGTGGTGAGAAGCAATTGCTTCCAAGGATCTGCATGCCCCAAGAAATCTGTATAAGGCAGCAACACAGGACAGCTGCCTTATACGGAGTCAGACTATTGGTCCATCTTGCTCAGGGCTGCCTACACTGACTGGCAGCTCTCCAGGGGTCCAGGTAGGGTCCCCCGACCTGGAGATGCCAGAAATTGAACTGGGATGTTCTGCTTGCAAGGCAGACACTCTTGCCACTGAGTTACGGCAGTCCTTTACTGTATACTCTTTTCAACAGCTGTGGGTGGCGCTGTGGGTTAAACCACAGAGCCTAGGACTTGCCGATCGGAAGGTCGGCGGTTCAAATCCCCGCAATGGGGTGAGCTCCCGTTGCTCAGTCCCAGCTCCTGCCAACCTAGCCGTTCGAAAACACGTCAAAGTGCAAGTAGATAAATAGGTACTGCTCCAGTGGGAAGGTGAACGGCGTTTCCATGCGCTGCTCTGGTTCGCCAGAAGCGGCTTAGTCATGCTGGCCACATGACCTGGAAGATGTACGCCGGCTCCCTCGGCCAATAAAGCGAGATGAGCACCACAACCCCAGAATTAGCCACGACTGGACCTAATGGTCTGAGGTTTAACCCACAGCACCACCCGCGTCTAAAAGAAGGAAGATCAAGAAGTTAAATGTCATGTAACCACTCTCTGCCTTCCGCTGTAAATGTATTTCCAACTCGCTTGGTCAAGCAAGTTCAAAGATCGGTAACACACACAGCTTCCTTGTAAAGTCCAACAACAACTGTCCTGAAACATGCTAGACTTCTCTCTCCCAATTGGGTGACTCTCCCTGACCCCAGTGCCGGATTTACGTATAAGCTAGACAAGCTATAGCTTAGGGCCCCACTCTCTTGGGGGCCCTCAAAAAATTTAAAGGGAAAACCTGGATGTACTTTTCCAAAATATAATATAAAAAAAGAAAATAAAACCTACATACAGCAACAGTGCTTTGTGTTGTGTAGGCTCCTATGATGTAAGTCATGGGCCCCGCCTGCTAGCCTGCTCCCTAAAATATCACTGCTTTGCTCATTTCTATATATAGGGTGCCTACATAAAATATGTATTTTATGATAAAATACATATTTTGTTATGTGCAAATGGCTTTAGATACCTATTAGGTCCATAAATCACCATATAGCATATAAAAGTAAAAGGTAAAGGTACCCCTGCCCGTACGGGCCAGTCTTGACAGACTCTGGGGTTGTGCGCCCATCTAACTTAAGAGGCCGGGGGCCAGCGCTGTCCGGAGACACTTCCGGGTCACGTGGCCAGCGTGACAAAACTGCATCTGGCAAGCCAGCGCAGCACACGGAAACGCCGTTTACCTTCCCGCCAGTAAGCGGTCCCTATTTATCTACTTGCACTTTGACGTGCTTTCGAACTGCTAGGTTGGCAGGCGCTGGGACCGAGCAACGGGAGCTCACCCCGCCGCGGGGATTCGAACTGCCGACCTTTCGATCGGCAAGCCCTAGGCGCTGAGGCTTTTACCCACAGCGCCACCCGCGTCCCCCATATAGCATATATTCAACATAAAAAACAGCAGCAATTTGTTGTTGGCGAAGGACAGCTGGACATATAAAGGGCCCCATTATCTTCAGGGGCTGCGGGCCTCATCAAACCGAAATCCGGCCCTGCCTCACCCTGACACCTTTTAGGATCCTGACCTGTAAGGGTGACTCATCTGTTGCCTTCCAGAGAGTTGAGAGTCCCATCAGCCCCAGGTAGCATGGTGACTGATCATGGGAGTTGTGACTTTCCTGATGTAGAGGGACTACAATTCAGCCACCTCAGGGCTCCGCTAATGCCAAATGGCAAGATTTAGAAGACTTGTCTTTAATAATAATAATAATAATAATAATTTTATTTATATCCCGCCCATCTGGCTGGGTTTCCCCAGCCACTCTGGGCAGCTTCCAACAAAATATTAAAAATACAATAAAACATCAGACACTAAAAACTTCCCTAAACAGGGCCGCCTTCAGATGTCTTCTAAAAGTCAGATAGTTGTCTATTTCCTTGACGTCTGACAAAGGGTGTTCCACAGGGCGGGCGCCACCACCGAGAAGGCCCTCTGCCTGGTTCCCTGCAACCTCAATTCTCGCAGGGAGGGAACCGCCAGAAGGCACCCGGCACTGGACCTCCGTGTCCGGGCTGAACGATGGGGGTGGAGACGCTCCTTCAGGTATACTGGGCCAAGGCCGTTTAGGGCTTTCAAGGTCAGCACCAACATTTTGAATTGTACTGGGAGCCAATGTAGGTCTTTCAAGACTGGTGTTATGTGATCTCAGCGGCTGCTCCCAGTCACCAGTCTAACTGCTGCATTCTGGATTAATTGTAGTTTCCAGGTCACCTTCAAAGGTAGCCCCACGTAGAGCACATTGCAATAGTCCAAGCGGGAGATAACCAGAGCATGCACCACTCTGGAGAGAGTCCGCAGGCAGGAAGGGTCTCACCCTGCGTACCAGATGGAGCTGGCAGACAGCTGCCCTGGACACAGAATTGACCTGTGCCTCCGTGGACAGCTGTGAGTCCCAAATGACTCCCAGGCTGCGCACCTGGTCCTTCAGGGGCACAGCTACCCCATTCAGGACACCCAGAAGATCCCACTTAGCAACCCCTGGAACCTTCAGCACAAGTTCTCAGGCAGCTGGCAATGGCAGAGACTTTTCTTCCTGAGGCCCAGGACAGTGGCTGCCAGACTGAGTAGACAACATGGGGCTAGATGGGACAAGCAGCCTGATCACATGCAAGGCATCTTCCTGTGCTCTTTCCTGAGGTCGTGCCTCTTCAGGCAGGTGGCGCAAGATCTAGGAACGTGCGCAGAGCCAAAAACAACAGAGAAGTGCAGCGCATTGCCCTTCCGGCAGGAAAGAAAGGTCTCTGCAGAAAACACAGCTGTTCTTGAAAGAAGAAGCATGACTCCTGCGATCGAAGCCTAAGGAGTGTGAAGGCAGGAGGACTGAGTATTTGAAAAAGCAAACCAACCAGAAGGGACGGCAGGTGTGGCTTCAAATGGTCATTCAAACCGAATGCCATCCAGATTATTTTAGACAGCAACCAATCCTGGTCTTGATGTACTAGCTGCCAGCGAGTTTCCAATGCTGGTTTGGATCTATAAAGTCCTTTGTGGCTCGGGATCCCAGCACCTCAGGGATTGCCTCTCCACACAGGAACCAACCCAGATCCTGCCATTGTCATCTGAGGCCTCCTTCATGAGAGGTCTAGGTGGTGACCTGGCAGGAACAGACCTTCTTAGTGGTGGCTCCGATCTTATGGAATGCCTTCCCCAAGGGAGGCTGGCTTGGCACCATCAATGCACAACTTAGGCACTAGGCAAAAACTGTATTAATCAGGCCTTTTGGCTTTTAACTGAGGCCTTTTTGCATGGGCAGGATGTTTTTTTATGCAGTTTTAAAAATTTGCCTTTTAGATATTTTTATGGTGGTTTAATGTGTGTATGTAAGTCGCTTTGAGTTACCATGGCAAAAAACAATTTTTGTGTGTGTTAATCAACGATGACAACAACCCACATCAGGCCAGGCCAGCAAAGCGGATGTTGAGATGCTGTTCAGATGATTTTGAGTTATCATTTTGTTGAGCATTGGGCTAGCACAACTCTTAAGAATTCCAGCATTGCAGTTTGAATACATCATCCCCTGCGCTTGCGCCCTGCCAGTTCCCAACTGTGACCATAACAAGTAACAATTTGTTGTTTTTTAAGTGGTCACTTACATATTGGGCTGGGATAATTCGGTCTGTAAAGCATAAGACTCAATCTCAGGGACGTCGGTTCAAACCCCATGTCGGGCAAAAGATTCCTGCGAACCTTGTGGCCTCTTTCAACTCTGCAATTCTAGGATTCTACATTCTTTAAAAGAACCCCCCCCCAAAAAAAAAAACAGTGGGGGGGGCAATGAAAGTTCCGTGCTGGCAAGTTGACAATCAATATACAAAAATCCATTCATTGTCTTCACTATCCCGTTTCCTCCACATTGCCCTCCTGCCTCCTTGTAAGGTTATAGGCAGAGCCAGAGCAAATGTGCATTTGTCACAAAAAGTACACCCAACCCACCGATTGGGACCTCGTTTTAGGGGGTGGGTATATCAGTAGTGTATATCGAGTTAGGAGAGAAATAGGCTGGTGCCACAGAATCAGAAAGTGGTTGTGGCGGGGAGGGAGAGATGCAATTTATTCCAAATTTTTAAAAGCCCCACGAAGCGTCAGCAGCAGCAGCAGCAGTGACCCACACCCCCAATATATCTCTCTCTCTCTCTCCTGGGGCAATTACCAGTCGAGGGGCCAAGGTATATACATATTTTATTTTTTAAAAAAGTTTACAGTTTCTTTAATTATACACAACTATTTTGAGAGGTTATAATTCTTAGAAGAGGCAATTGCCGTGGCGCCAGGCATGCCCACTAACATCATCACAATGCAAAGAGGATTGGGGGGGCGGGGGGTATAAGAGAGGAAGCGGAAACGAAAATGGGGGGGGGGGGGAACAAACCAACCAAAAAAAAAACCCCGAAGGAAAACAAAGCAAGGACTCGAATGGAAAGGGGCTGGATGCCCAGCTTCGCCTCTTCAAGTATTCACACAATATGTACCAAACACAGTCAGTAAAAGAAAAGGTGGGGAAGGAAGGAAAATGGCCATTTCTCATGCGGCAAGAGACTTCTGGCTCCAAGGTGCCACAGCAACTCAGACGAGCAAAAGGAAGCGAGCGAGCGAGAAAATATTATATATATATTTATATAAAACCAGCGCACGCTCAGATCACAGGAGTCGCCTTCGGACACTCCACACCTTTAACTACTTTATCCGTTCCAGATCTAGGTGCAGAAAGCTAGCATGGACCCCTCTCCAAGAGGAGAAAAGCTTCACCCCCTCCCCTACGAACCCCCTTTTCGTTGTGGGAGTTCCCACCCGCTGCCCCAAAGGTAGGAAAATATCAACCGGCCACACAAGCCAGGGAGCTTTGGGGTTTTTCTACAAGCAGACCTAGCCAACGAAAAAGTCCAGGGCCATTGCTTTCGCCACCAGCCATCACCTGGGTAAAACCCTGCGCCACTCTGATCCATGCTGCTCTCTGCCTCCGTTTCCAGGTCCCCACTCTCTTATATCAAGCACAAGATGGTGTGGCAAGAACAACTAACAGAAGGTTGACAGGTGGAATTGGGAGACTGGCACGGAGGGCAAAGTGGGATAAAAACTGTGCTTCGGAGGTATGTCTCCGTGGGTGATTTAAGAGGCATTTTGAGAAGGGGAGCAGATCAAACGCCAAGGTCAATGTGGGAAGTTGCGTCTACCGGTGCCGAAACACTCCAAAAGCACAACGGACTTTTACGGGTGGGGAGGGAGAAGGGCAACAGCCGGTGCAAGCACTTGAGATCCCATCAGAGTGTGTTCACGTTAACAAGGCAACTCACAAGAAACAAACACAGCTTTGCAGCTTGCCAGGGGCGGCTGCGTCGGGAGTCGGGTCTGAAGCCTGAAAGGTGGTTTTCAAAAGGAACACGGGCGTTTCGGAAGGGGGATGGCGACTGGAAGTGGCCTTTCCGTCTGGTCTGGCTGAGAGAGAAGCAGCTCTGCGAGCAAAGGGGATCTCGGAAGGCCGACAAAAGAGAGAGGGGGACAGAAGGAACTGGGCTTAGATCAGTGGTACCAGAGAAGGGAGCCTGGTCTAGTTAACTCGTAAGGTCGGTCCTCACAAATGCTTCTTTCCAGGTGGATCCCATTCCACTAAGGGCGTTTTGCCAGCCTTCCCTGACACCTGGAAAGTAAATGCAGAAGAAGAGATCTTTGCAACTGCAACGCACAAACAAGGGGTCCGATCAAACAGGAATTGCGAAAATGGGTCTTTTGCACCCCAGGGGCAAAGTGTGTGGATGTTGGGTGGGGAGTAGAGAGTCAGTGCTGCCTTTTCTTGGGGGTGGGTGGGATTCCACTGAACACGGACCGTGTCTGCATTTGGAACCGCTTCCGCGTGTTTAATTTAAAAGCCAGGACTGTTGAAATCAAGAACGGGTGTTTGCTTAGGAGCGAAGAGCTGTGTACGTCAGAGTTGTTAAAAACTGACTGTGCACCAGGATTGAGATTTTTTTCCAAGGAAAAAGTTACCTGCGTAAAGTAAAGGGAATTAGAACACTAATATTTGTATATACAATATTGAAAAAATACAATTTATTTCGTTTAAATTGGTACCACCATCACCACTGCCACCTCAGCACTCAAAATCTAGACCTAAATAGCACCTAAGAGGCCACCACACAAGCAGAGAGCATCTCTAAGGCCAACTTCGCCAACCTGGTGCCCTCCGCAGGTTGCTGGGACTACAACTCTCATCAGCCTCAGCCGGCACGCTGGCAGGGGCTGATGGGAACTGTAGTCCATCGACCTCTGGAAGGCACGAGGTTGGTGAAGGCTGGTCTCGGGAGTCCTGCGGCAGTAACATAGCTCTCCCCACGCTCCTCCAGTCAAGGAAATGGCACAGAGTTACATGTTCCATATTAATACTAACCCGCCTGCCCCCCCCCAAACAAGCCATACTTGCTTAAAGGAGAGAACTTCAGCTCAGCTACTATAACCACATTACTGTTTTGTTTTTTTAATTTAGAAAGAAAGAAAATAAAAGGTTCTTGTTTGTTGTTGTTTTTTCTTCATGCCCGTAATTCAACTTCTTGGTATGCTTTTGCTTTATTAAAGGAAAATGATCATGCCAAAGTTAAATTCTACTTTACATAAGATCTTTTCAAAAGGGGGGGGGGAAGCAAACTGATTAGGCTTTAAGATTGTACTCTCTCGACGCGTTTTCCCCTCGCACCCCAGAACAATCCACAAAATTCTGACGGCGTTTCAGGGGAACCTGGGGAGGAAATACAACGGACTGGGCTTGGCTTGATATTCAGAATTCTGCTCACGTCACCCGAGTTCCAATTCCGTTCACTGCCCCCACCCCACCCACCACAGACATTGCACCAAAACTGCCCTCCCCACATCCTGTCCAAAAAGAAAAAGGAAAAAAAAACTCTTTACAAATACATCAGAGGTAATGTCCAGATTGCAAAATCCACATCTCGCCGGGCGTTTTCCTTGCCGTTATCCATGTTCAAGTAACGTCAGCATCCCAGGTAGGCATTCAACGTATGAGGGGGGTTCTCTTACCATTCCGTTTTTTGGGGGAGGGGGGACGGGGTGGAGGGGAAGAGAGAAGGAACATTTGTGTGTTCAAAAAACGCCCAAGAAATGAAAAGGGAGGAAGAATCTAATTCGGAAGAAAATCTCTGAAACCAGCACTCTTATTATCAATTCCCCTTCCAAAACAACAAAAAAACCACTTCCCAAGCCCATTATACTGGATTTTCCTAGATTGTCTGGCCTGCTTTACGGAAGGGCCACAAGTGAGCAAAGGAAGGAAGGAACTAGCAAACTTGGGAGACCACCGATGGAGTCGTGATCAGCGGCAACTCGGGTGGGGTGGGGGGCACTGAAACTGTCCATGGGCTTGCAGCACTCTTGACAAATCCGACTTGTAAGAAGACCTCTCCGCAGGAGGCTATGGGCACAGTGCTTGAAGAGACATCAATGAGTGGAATAATCACAACTGCCAGTGGTTTTAACAGTGGGGCAAAAAATGGATTGGGTGTGACGCGCTCCAGGAAAGCTAAGCCAAAGTTGGACTCTGCTTGCTTTCTGTCCCTTAAGAGTGGTAACAGCGACAGAGGCAGACGGGCACCGAGGATCCAGACCAGTAAAGTTGACTTTTGACTGTCCAGTCGCAGGTTTTCAAAAGGTCCCCCGAGCAAACCGGACCAATCGCCAGTCTCTAGCGGCAGGGCAGGAAGTCCGCGCAAAATGTTCTTTAAGCCAAAGAAAGGCGCCTTTGTCAGAACCACTTCGAAGAATTCGGCGTATTCTGGCGACGGTGTTTCGTTTCTTAAAAATGCAACTCCGTTTAAAGTGTAAAGCGGCCGGGCTGAATTGAAAGAGCACCTTTCCGACTTCACTGCCTCTGGCGTTTATCCCCCGATATTTCTCTCCGACGTTCTGCAAGCGCTGCTCGGCTTTTGCATCTGAGGGTGTCCTGCCATCTTTGGAACCATTAATAATAATAATAATGATAATAAAAGTGGGGGGCAGGGAGGAAAAAAAAAAGGGAACATCCAGACCCTCTCCCTAGCAAAGCAGCTGGTTTTTTTTGTGTTTTGTTTTTTAGGTTGACAGTTCAGTAGCCCACAAGTTGCCTTTGCTCAAATGGAATTATAAACGGATCCCTCGCATGCATATGGGCTGCATATTGCTACCGAGTGGAATGTGGGAAATGCGCTACGATGCACTTTTGGGCTCTGAGAAATGACCAAAAGAAACCAAGATCTAAAGGGTGATATATATATATGTATATATATCTCAATGCTATTATTCATAAAAACCTTGTTTAGTAATAAAAAATTGCTTTGTTTAAATATGAATATTATAGTCTGCTTCTCAGCGCGGGGTTAGGAAGTCAGTCTCTCTGAAAAGCAGGGTGCTGCTTCTACTACAACTCCATATCCTGGGCCTCGTCCTCTGAAAAGTCAGACATGGAGCTCTCCGAAGAGCTGTCCCCAGTGCCTTCTTCCTGCTCTTTTAGCGCTTCCTCTGTTGCATATTTCTGAATGTATTCTGGATGGGGTGGAAAGAGAAAGGTGGGGGGTGGGGGCAGGGGAAGAAAAAGAGGGACGATCAACATACACACTAAAGGAACACTCTGAGGTCCCTCAAAAGAACAGACCACAAACTGCTTCTCGACACCTTAATGTGCTTTTTCGACATGCCTGCACGTGCCCGCCCACCAAAATGACCCCCAGATTTCAGCAAGGACAAGCCCTTGCTCAAACATTAGTACTTGTCTGAAAAATCTTAAAAGCAAGATTTAAGAAATAATAATAATAATAATAATAATAAACAGTCAACATTTGCACCTGTGATAATCTTACCCGTTTTTCTGTGCTTTAGTGCCTTCCGGTGTATTTATTTATTTACTGCAGTTATAACCCCACCTTCCTCTCCAAAGAGTTCCTGTAACTGGTTCTCCCCCTCCTTATTTGACCCTAGCCAGGTAGGGTTGGGGCCCAGCGGTTCTCAACCTGTGGGTCCCTAGATGTTGTTGGACTACAACTCCCAACATCCCTGAGCTCCGGCCTTGCCAGCTAGGAGTGATGGGAGTTGTAGTTCAACAACATCTGGAAAACCACAGGTTGAGAAAGGCTGGTTTAGGCTTAAGGTCCCTGCAAGGTCACCCAGCGAGCTTTGTGGCAGAGTGGGGATTTCAACCATGGTGTCTCAGGTCCTGGTCCGATGCTCTAACCAGTACACCACCACTGGCGTAAGACAGCTGGGACTCTCATGACGTGCTCGGCTTGGGAACGCATCTCTGTGCAAAACACAGAAAAGTCCTGAAGCTGGAGGGGGTGGGAAGAGCGAGGAAAGGCTCAGCAGAGCACACCGTAAATGAATGGAGAGGGTAGAAACCTTCAAAACTGTAGGGAGGTGCAGAAACACGTTTCTGAATTATTTCTAAAGCACACGCGTGTTCTGGGTGCTGGACATCAAACAGGACAGAAGGCAGAGATTGCAAGCCTGAGGGGAGGGGCCTTAGACAGACCAAGAGACACAAGGACTGGGGGGGGGGGGCAGAAGAGATAGTGGAATGAGACCAGTTAGCGGGAAAACGACAGAGTCAAGACATGAGTTTTTTAAAGCCTGGTGTCTAACTATAAATATGGGAGGATGGATTCCAGGAAGTTAGGAGCACCAATGGTGGGGGAGCAGCAGGACAGGTGGGGAGCAGACAGGGGAGCTCCCAGAAAATCAGTATTCTGAGTTTTGTTTTACACAGGAGAGCATTCAGAAAAGTGGCACGCACCCTCCTCCTGAGCTCTGAAGTGGTACAGTCCACCAGTTCCCTCTGTGTCAAGTAATCTAGCAGGGCTCTCTGCGTGTTCTCAATGCGCTGGGTGATGCTCAGAACTAGCCGCTGGGTGCATATCTCCTAGGACAGCTCCATTCATCGCCTCAGACTCTCAAATATGCATTTTGGTGTGTGTCAGAACAACCCACAGCCCATATTCCTTCTTTTAAAAAAGCCATTCAGCAAAAAAGGGCTTCCAGTTTCAGGAAGTTGCACCAATTACTATATATCCCAGGAAGGATGTGTGTTACGAAGCTCCATGTTAAGAAAAGATGCTCAGCGGCCTGCGGGTGTTGTATCTACGCAAATGAGGCCTAAATCTCACAGCCTGCCTCTCAGTGCCGGTGGGACAAGAGCTCACTCTGCACCCAAGAGAGACCCGGGAGGAGGAACGGCTACTAAAGATTGCTGCCTGCTTCTCCACAATGTGGCCCAGCTGTGTCAGAACCGTCTGAGCAGGCCTAAGCGCAATGGCCTCTCTCTAAGAACTGGAGAAGGCAACCGTCACAGAAGTACTTGTCACTGACCATCAACTGCTGAGATCTGTTAAGAGGCAAGTTTCTTGAATTCTAGCTCCAACACATTGTGGGCTGATTACTCTAAAGCAACGGGGCCTTGTGGTCCCTCCCCCAGGGTACACCAGAACGACTTCTACGGCTCCGTCAGTTAAAAAGGGAAGACGAGATAAATTATGCATTTACAGAACCTTGTCTCCCAGCGCAGAGGAGCTGCTGCAACTCAAGGCATCGGCGCGGAGGCTATTTTTAAGCGCCACTGTCGCCAGAAAGCTCTGTGCATCTTGTCAGTGCCTGAGCAACTCCCAACTTGTAGCTGGCTGCCTGTCACGCAGCTGGGATGTGTGGGGAGAGGTGTGGCAGGGCATCTCAGGTCTACCAGCCAATGTCATGCATAGCAAAGCTAAAACAAGGGATATTTTCATAGTGGCAGTGATGATGGGGAGTTGCTGTGGAAGTCCCAGATTGATTTTGATGTTGCATACTCAGTGGCGTAGCAGGGAAAAGGACACAGCTGTCCATTAGTTCCTTCTCTCACCAGTCTTACACACATCTTGGGCTGGGGGCAATTCTTCTCTCTCCCCTAGCTAGTGTAGTGGAAGTTATAGCACCTGCTTTTGATAGTCTACTACCTGTAAAAGGTAACAGTAAAGGTAAAGGACCCCTGACAGTTAAGTCCAGTAGTGAACGACTCTGGGGTTGCAGCACTCATCTCGCTTTACTGGCTGAGGGAGCCGGCATTTGTCCGCAGACAGTGGCCAGCACGACTAAGCGGTTTCTGGCGAACCAGAGCAGCGCATGGAAAAGCTGTTTACCATCCCGCTGGAGCGGTACCTATTTATCTACTTGGACTTTGATGTGCTTTCGAACTGCTAGGTTGGCAGGAGCTAGGACTGAGCAACGGGAGCTCACCCCGTCGCAGGGATTCGAACCGCCAACCTTCCGATCGACAAGCCCAAGGCTCAGTGGTTTACACCACAATGCCACCCGCATCCCACAACCTGTAAAAACCATCAAAGGGAGTGTGAAAGGATATCCTTGGAAGAATCTGCTTGCTCACGCTCTATTACGAATGTATCAAGAAGGTTCGTGCGGGAAAATCCCAGCCTTGAGCTAGCCTGAGATAAAGCGGTCGGTCTCCCTGTTATCCGCACTGAACTGAGCATTCAGCTCAATCCAGGCCTACTCTGCCTCTGAGATTGCGACTTACCGTATTTTTCGCTCTACAAGACGCACTTCCCCCCTCCTAAAAAGTAAGGGGAAATGTGTGTGTGTCTTATGGAGCGAATGCAGGCGGGAGGCTCTGCTCAGCGCTCCCTTTAAAGAGCCGCGTGGAGCGTGTGTGAGGCTCTTGGGGGCTTTTCCCTCCACGTGGAAAAGCCCCCAAGAGCCGCACACACGCTCCGTGCACTCTTTAAAGGGAGCGTGGCTCTTGGGGGAGCCTTAGCTGCACGCAGCCTCTCCCAGGCAAGGGAAGAAGGCTCCCCCTGCCCGGGAGAGGCTGCGCGTGGCTATCCCATAAGCCAGGACATCCAGCGGGATCGCTAAACAGCGATCCCGCTGGCTGTCCTGGCTTATGGGATTCAGAATTCCCCCACCCCGTTTTCCTCTTCCCAAAACTAGGTGTGTCTTATGGTCTGGTGCGTCTTATAGAGTGAAAAATTCCTACACGTGTGCAAGGCTAAGGTGAGGGAATGCCTTTCTATAAGCCCGTGCAATTTATAGGTCTGTTGCTGGCATCTGTCTGTCTCGAGAGACAAGGGAGTGCGAGCCTTTGGGGATGAAGTCAAACCGTTGCATTAGTAGCACTGAAGTGACGTCTCCCGGGAGCAAGCCAGGGCAGCATGTGTGGAGGTCCTGGGCTGCCCAGATGACAAGGACCACGCCCCCCCCCAGCCTTACTGATGTGGTCCAAAGGAAAGCAGAGGCTTGGCTGCAGGAGTTGCTGGGAGGAGGTGTGCTGAGATCTCCCCTTTTGTGGGTTCTCCAGCGGCCACTGCTATTTATTTATTTATTGAATTGAATTGATTTATTTGCTACGACCAAATAAAGTTGCTTTAAACATCACTGTGGTGTGGTTACACAAGAAATCCACCACGCTAGACACTGGTTCACCAAACCAAAGCTTGTTGCCCTGTTTTGCTTGTTTCATATCTGAGCAAGCCTCCTTTCCCCAAAATAAGGCCTGGTGATTCCCCACCCTGCCGTTCCATTTAAGGCTAGCTGGCCTCTCCCAAGTGAGATGGACACCTCAGTTAGACGTTGCTTCCCTTCACCTGGGAGGTTAGCAACTGGCTTGCCAAAGCCGCAGCATAAGCAAGACGGTGCCGAGTTCTTCAGACCCAAATGCTCTCCGCAACAAAGTTCCAAGACAGGCTGCTAATGGTTTCTCGCGCTTCCAAAGCCCTTACCTTTAATTTTCTGTTTGTATTCTTCTGGTCGGTGAAGGTACATGGCTGCTGCGTCACCATTAAGGGGATCTATGGGGTTGGGATACGCCAGCAACTGGGGCAGGAACGACTCAAATATATTGGTAAGATCTGAAAATCAGCAACACAAAAAGAATTTGACATGTAACGCCTGAAGCTGGCCTTCAAAAGAGCCATTTGCCATGATCTCTACTACCACTACAACATCTATTCGACGAAAGCGGCTATGCCCCCATCTCACAGGACTTACCATTCCAGTAAGAGGGAACCAGTAAGATGGCCCTGCTCACCCAGACAGCCGGCTAGCTGATCTTATCTATCGATCAATCTATTATTTCCTGCCTTCCTTTCAAGGAGTTCAGTATGGTGAACAAGGAGTTCAGTAGGCTGAGGGTTGGTGTCTGGCCACCCAGCGAGCTTCAAGGCTGAGTAGGGATTTGCTCATCCTTTGTATGTGGGGGAAGTAAATGCTCACTCTTTTAAAACTATCCTATTGCTAGAGTACCGCTTGTGAAGGTCTGCATGTCAGCTGAATTCGTTTAACACCATTTTAATGAATGTTAATGAATATGCCAACTCTGTTTTGGTACTACAGAAGTAACTGAAGTAATCTTCGTTGTCCTTTAGAGCACTAACCCCTGGGATGCCAAATTCTAGAGTGTGCTATGCTCAAGGTTAAAGAGGTCCTAAAATGGGTGCCAGCGTTGCAAGGGGGTGGGGACTCTTGCAATCTACACACTTCAAAGCACATGTGCAAGACTGTGCTCTCAGACAACAAGCTAAAATATGTGTGCGCGCACATCCACCCCTTGTATAGTACAAAACCACTGACGCCATACATTTCTTAACTCACCATAGAGAGCTGTCCAAGTCTGATTAATTACATCTAGACATACAGTTCCTGACCTGAAAGAGACAAACAAGGGTTGACTTCCATTTGCAGTTAGGCAGTGCTGGTCTGGTACAGCGGCTACACAAGTTCAGATCTTCCCTTCCCTATTAACACCCAGTACGTTTCACGAAAGTGGAAGCGGGCAAAAAAAGCAGACTGGAATCTACAGGAAGACCTTTGGGAGACTGGAAGGGTTTATGGCACCCAATGGTTTACCTAGTTCACTTCCCCAAAATTAAGTTGCTGAAACACAGAAAGGGTGTGTGTGTGTGAGAGAGAGAGAGAGAGAGAGAAAGAGAGAGAGAGAGGAAGAAGAAAAGAAAAAAGAAAGACGTAGGACTTGAAATATGAGCAACAGCGTTAATTATTAAGATAAATAGGTTAAAATGTATGTATTGAATAGTTTACGTGAAATTACGCAGCATTCAAGGGTAAATATGGTAACCATGGAAGGGGAGGATGGGAAGACAACGGATAAAGTAATTTATGGTCTATGTTAAAATCTGTAAAGGGTTTGTTTATTTGGGGGGGTGAAAAATCAAGAAAGAAGAAGGAAGGAAGGAAGGAAGGAAGGAAGGAAGGAAGGAAGGAAGGAAGGAAAATTTAGGAGTAGATTTTTTGTGTAAAAAGACAGCTCACTTCTGGTACTGAAAAGAGTCCCAGGGCTGAGCATGTGCTGTTATTGCCTCTGGCTCCAGTTGGTAGACTTTGATCCTGCAAGCTGGAAGTCTGCCCACAGGTAGGCTAGAGCATTTGACCCAGTCTTAACCAAGAGGGCCCCCAAAGCCACAGTCTACATGGATTACATATAAATGCCTATCCACACAGACTGATAAATCCAGACAATATGAACTTGGGTTACCATTTTAAGCCATAGCGCTTCATCCTCCATTTAGCCCTGCAGGACACAGGGTTTATCCAAAGCTGTGCCCGGGCTGGGCAACCTGCCTGATGCTGGAACCCTAAATTGAGTCTCAAGAATCTTCTAAAACATTAAGGAGCTCCCCAGCAGAGAACAGAAAATGGAAAGGGTTCTCTAAGGGCAGGGTGTTTGAAAACTTGCGTAAGCCCCTGACTTCTTGCCTTATCCTCAACAGAGAGGGTGAATAAATTGGTCTTCACCATCTTTCCTTCTTTTTTAAAAAAATATCTTAACTCATCACATATCCATTCTCTTCCCCTTCCTGAATTAGGAAAGAAGCTATGCACTGAGGTTAAGAGATAACCCTCCCCCCTAAATAATTTTGTTTAGTACAAAACATCTTCAATCACTTACGCTTCGTCAATATTGGGATGGAAAATTTTATTCATGAATCCTGCAATGGAGCCAAACAAAGGAGATGTTAGCAACCTTTATCACCGTTATCTTTTATTTACTTAAGAAAACTTATATATGATTGTAGGGAAGCCTCTAAGTGGTTTACAAGAAATATTAAAATGATCAATAAAAAAAGTTGAAAACACTTAAAAGTAATTAAAATTAACTGTAAAAAAGAAGAAGATCAAAACAAATCATTTCCGGACAGGCTTGCCTAAATGAAAGTATTTTAAGGAATGTTGTTGCACTGAACAACTAAAAAAATGGCATGCATGTCCCTAGTTTTGTTCTGGTGGAAAGCCACGGGTCCCTAAAGCACAATGTGTTGCTCCGCTCCTGAATTCTGTCATTCACACATGGAAAGGAAGGGTGGCGGAATCCCAAACTACAGTTTCCCATTTGAAGTTGAGCAAAACCTACTGTCAGCCAAGCACCACCAAAGCGGATGGGCGCTGGCTTTGGAGAAGTCGCCGCAGACTAGAGGCACTCAAGAAATCAGAAATCACCGCGTTATGTTCACTGCATCTCATGAAGCCCATCTTAACACATCAAGCTGAGATGCAATGGTTGGGAGTTCCCAAGGCTTAATAAGAGAGACACAATTCACTGATTTGCGCTTCCCAGAACCTAAGTAGCTGCCCCTGTCTGAAGCCCCAAAATGGCTGCAGGCTCAGCAGCTATGCCCATTTCCATGAAAAACATTAGGTAAAGGTAAAGGTACCCCTGACCATTAGGTCAAGTCATGACCGACTCTGGGGTTGCGGCGCTCATCTCACTTTACTGGCTGAGAGAGCCGGCGTACAGCTTCCGGGTCATGTGGCCAGCATGACTAAGCCGCTTCTGGCGAACCAGAGCAGCGCACGGAAACGTCATTTACCTTCCCGCCGGAGCGGTACCTATTTATCTACTTGCACTTTGACGTGCTTTCGAACTGCTAGGTTGGCAGGAGCAGGGGCCGAGCAACGGGAGCTCACCCCGTCGCGGGGATTCGAACCACCGACCTTCTAATCAGCATGTCCTAGGCTCTGTGGTTTAACCCGCAGCGCCACCCGCGTCCCTTGAAAACCATTAGCCAGTGACTGAATACAAGTGGGCCTGCTCTACAAACTTAACTCTCCTGGGCTGCATATTTACTATGGCTATGTGCTAATCTGATGCTGATTTAACGAGAAGCCGACAGGCAGGGTCAAAACATGCAAGACTCAAGACTTGTGCCACTGAAAGGTGCGTTTGTTCCTCTGTTTTTGGAAAACACACCCCTACACGTCACTTCCAAATCACAGGAGCTGCTGCCGCCAAACTCTAGAATTCCTGGCTCACAAACACAGGAAAGCACCTGGGGTTTCAGAATTCTTGTCCGCCTTGAACCCATGGCCTGAGGGTTATCAGACAGGGGCCATTGCCAAATCGACCACATTCCAGGCCATTTGGCAGGTGCAGAGCTTTACGTAGCAACAGAAAGCAAAAGAGCAGGATGCAGGCATCACAGGCTAGTAACCTCCCTTTACATGGGAGGAGGAGGCTGCAGCAGCCTTGTAAGAGATGTAAACATTCAAGAGTAGAGGACTTGACTGCCACATCTTCGTTCCAGTCCTCCATCCTCTTTTAGGTAAAGGTAAAGGGACCCCTGACCGTTAGGTCCAGTTGTAGACGACTCTGGGGTTGCGGCGCTCATCTCGCTTTATTGGCCGAGGGAGCCGGCGTACAGCTTCCGGGTCCTGTGGCCAGCAGGACTAAGCCGCTTCTGGCGAACCAGAGCAGAGCACAGAAACGCCGTTTACCTTCCCGCCGGAGCGATACCTATTTATCTACTTGCACTTTGATGTGCTTTCAAACTGCTAGGTTGGCAGGAGCAGGGACCGAGCAACAGGAGCTCACCCCGTCACGGGGATTCGAACCGCCGACCTTCTGATCAGCAAGTCATAGGCTCTGTAGTTTAACCCACAGCGCCACCCGCATCCTCTTCTACCAACTTCCAGTTATGCTCGGGCTACAACTGGTTCACCCCTTGGGCTCTGTCCAACTTGAGTCGCTATTTAGGTGAAATGTGCACACCAGCTCCCTGAACCTTTGCTTGGTCCCCTAGGATCCAGTGCCAAGCGAATACTGCTTGAAGGCCTTGCCATTGGGACTTCCCGGCCTCTCCCGCGACTGCCATGGCACGGGGGGGGGGGGCAAGTGTCCAGCTGACTGGGTGAGCCAGAGGCAGCTGCTATGCTCCTCTTGGGAGCTGAAGGTCAAGTTCTTTTCTGCACTGGGTTTTTTGTTTTGGTTTGAGGTCCCCTCAATCCCCATCCAGAACAGAACTCGCAAGCAACGGAACAGGGTGGAGGGACATACACGCTCCCGTGGAATCGTGTCGGCATTGTGCCTTGTGCTTTTGACCAGCAGGAAGACACTTTTTGGGAGTGCTGGACACGTTCTTGCCAGCCCATTCCAAAAGCACAGCAAGCACGGCCGTTAATGTTCCAACAGCCTCATCAGATGATCAGGAGGACTGGCTGGCTGCCCTGTGACCTGCTATGAGCATCCAAGCAGCTCTGCTTGCACATATTATTATATTATCTTCTCCTCCCTCCACCCCAGTGTTTCTGTCTCCCCACCCTACCCCCACAGATGTTGAGAGATTCTCACAGGTGGAAGACTACCCGGGCAGAAATCTAGCATGCCCCTTCCACAGCAAGGCACATCCAGTTTCCAATTCACCAGCTTCTGGCTGCAAGGCAAGATCCTGCCTCTAGTTAAAGGAAGCTAACAGCCTTGCAAGGGACGCGGGTGGCGCTGTGGTCTAAATCACAGAGCCCAGGGCTTGCCGATCAGAAGGTCAGTGGTTCGAATCCCCGCAACGGGGTGAGCTCCTGTTGCTCGGTCCCAGCTCCTGCCCACCTAGCAGTTTGAAAGCACATCAAGTGCAAGTAGATAAATAGGTACCACTCCGGCAGGAAGGCAAACAGTGTTTCCGTGTGCTGCTCTGGTTCGCCAGAAGCAACTTAAGTCATGCTGGCCACATGACCCGGAAGCTGTACACTGACTCCCTTGGCCAGTAAAGCGAGATGAGCGCCGCAACCCCAGAATCATCCGCAACTGGGCCTAATGGTCAGGTGTATCTTTACCTTTACCTTTACCCTTTACCTTTACCTTTAGCAGGATGCACTGGGACAACCGATCTCAGTGATCACGGGTAGGAGGAGGAGTTACGCTAAGACCAGACCCTGTCATTACAGAGGAGGCAGGTTTAGTCGTTGTCTGAGGACTATCCCTGCCTCCGGGTCTGGTCCTGACCGGATGGATACTAGAATCAGCAAGGGATACCCACATGACCTGAAGGTGCTGCTGTGCAATGCCAGGTCAATGATTCATAAGACCACTGCCATCCATGACTTGATCATGGATGGAGGATTTGACCTGGCATGTATAACAGAGACCTGGTTGGATGAAGCAGATGGGCCTGTCCTTGCCGCTGCTTGTCCACCAGGTCTCTCCTACGCACAGCAACCCAGGTCATGTGGGCGGGGAGGGGGGGTTGCAGTGATTTTTAGGAAGTCATTAGTTTGCACCAGGCGTCCTGTTGGGAAGACCCAGTTTTCTGAGTGCATGTTCTGGAAGTTGGGCAATAGGGGCAGTACAGGATTCCTTTTGGTGTACCGACCTCCCCGCTGCACCAAGGATTCCCTGCCCGAGCTGCTTCAGGTCGTGGCGGATGTTCTCCTGGAGACACCTAGCTTGGTCATCCTAGGGGATTTTAACATCCATGCCGACACGACCTTACAAGGGGCCGCTCGGGACTTCGTGGAAAGCATGGCCTCCATGGGGCTGTCCCTGAATAAGTCTGGCCCAACCCATAGCCGTGGACATGCCTTGGACCTGGTGTTTACCTCTATGGATGTTGGTGATCTGACACTAAGTAAAAGCGAAACGAAAGAAGTGCCATGGTCAGATCACTTCCTGGTGCAACTGGACTTCTCTGCGACCCATCCCCTCTGCAGGGAGGTGGGACCAATTCGGATGGTCCGCCCCCGCCACTTAATGGATCCAAATGGTTTCCAGAGAGTGGTAGGGGATGCTTTATCCCGTGTTGATGGCCTTTCAGCTGATTCCCTGGTGGCCCGCTGGAATGTGGAGTTAACCAGGGCTATTGACTGTTTGGCTCCGAAGCGCCCTCTCCGATTGCATGGAGCCCGGACAGCCCTGTGGTTTTCCACGGATCTGAGGGCAATGAAACAATCGTTGAGACGGCTAGAGCGCCGGTGGCGGATAACTCATTCCGAATCTGACCGGACACAGGTTAGAGCTCAACGTTGAGCCTACCAAGTGGCGATAGCGACGGCGAAGAAGAATTTCTTCACCGCCTCTATTGCATCTGCAGAAAACAGCAGCAGGAGACTTTTTCAGGTGGTTCACAATTTAGCGGAACCACCTGCAACATCGGGGCCCAGTACGGGCCACATGTTCTCCTGCAATGATTTTGCAAAGTTTTTTGCAGATAAAATCGCTCAGATTCGGGAAGAAGTAGACTCCACCGTGGGAGCAGGGCCGGGGCGGGAGAGTGCTAGAGTTCTGTCTAGTCAAGTTGAGTGGGATCAATTCCAATCTGTTACCTCCGAGGATGTGGACAGGCTGCTTGGACGAGTGAAACCAACCACCTGTCTCCTGGATCCTTGCCCATCCTGGCTTATAAAAGCTAGCCGGGAAGGACTGGGCAATGGGCTTCGTGGGGTGGTGAATGCTTCCCTCCGTGAGGGAGCCTTCCCAGACCCGCTGAAAGAGGCGGTTATTAAACCGCTTCTTAAAAAACCATCTTTAGATGCGGCCACGATGGCCAACTATCGCCCAGTCTCAAATCTTCCATTCCTGGGCAAGGTGATTGAGCGAGCGGTTGCCGAACAACTCCAGGCACGCCTGGAAGAAGCGGACCATTTGGATCCCTTCCAGTCGGGATTCAGGCCTCATCATGGGACTGAAACTGCCTTGGTCGCACTGGTTGATGATCTCCGGCGG